TGGGGCTTTGGTCCCTGGGCTGATGCTCTCCAGCAGCAAACCCAATGGAGTTTGGTGTCAGTTTGGGGTCCCCCTGCCAAGGCTGAAGGGTTGGGGTCCAGGCCATACTGGGGGCCCAAAGGAAGGGAGAAGGAAGCTGTTTGTTGGGGCACCTCCTCCAACGGCTGCACCCACAGATGGAGCCTGGGCTATAGGGCACATGGCACCGAGTTTGGGTTGGGGGTAAAGCCCAGGCAACGTCCCCTCTGCCTGCTGTGGGCTGCACCCATAATGGTGGCTTCAGTGTGGCACGAACCCACCTGGGATCCATGGGGAGAAAAGGGGCTGAGGACGGGGATGGAGGCAATGGGGCTGCAGGGCTCTGTGCAGGGAGGAGATGGGGTGCAGTGAGGGGTTGTAGGGTCAGCCTGGCGTGTGACCTTGGGTTGGGGACACACTCATGCATCCCAACGCTGGACAAGCAACAGCTCCTGCCCCTCGCCAGCATCCCAGCATTGGGGAACAGCATCCACCCCAACGGACTCCAGAGAAAACAAGGAGGGCTTTGGGGTGCTCTGCAACCCACTGCGTTGTGTTGTCCCCCTCCTGTCCTCATGTCACAGAGGACACCCACAGTGCATAAGAGCGCAGTGACACAGTGACTTCTCCCCTCATCACCCACCCCATCTCACACCCTCTCCCAAAGCTCCGGGCAGTTTGAGACAATTAAATGTTTATTCTTCCAAGATCTTTTTTTTTTTTCTTTCTTTCTTTCTTTTTCTTTTCTTTTTTTTAATACAAAATTTCCTCCCTGTGCCTGCAGATGGAGCCTGGCTGCCACCTGAGCTCAGCACCCCATCCATCCTCTTCTCCCCAGTCCTAACTGTCCACAAACCCTGCTGTGACACCCAGAGCCCAATGGGGGACACAGGGAAGGATGAGGCTCCTGGGGTGAGGATGCTCTGTTGCATTATGAGAGGGGAAGAAGGCAAATCCAGATGGATGCAGCACTTGGGGAGGCCTGACTCCACACCTCTGCCATGCCAGTACAACCCAGATGGGGAACTCTGGGGGTCCCTGGGGAGCTGAGCTCCAAGCAGAGGGTGGCCAGGACTGGATCTGATCTCAGCTGGAGAAATGGGTGCAGTCACTGGAAGGTGGGCACCGGGTGCCACTTCCTCCAAGGGGACACTGGAAGACAGCCAGGGACTGCAGGGACACAGATCCTCAGGCCAGCGGGTCGCTGGAAAGGGCTCAAGGCACCTTGGTAATGTCCACACACACACATCCACACACACACAGGTGTTTGTTCCCAAAATTCCCAAGGAAAGAAGAGTACATAAGGTTCACATTAGCACATCTCATATGTATATAGTGCAAATCAGAGCCCCAGCACCAGAGGGTTTGCTCTCTGGTTAGTGGTTAAGATGTCCCACGGGTGCAATCCTGGGCACTGCAGGCACTCCAGCCTTTGCTCTTCCCCAGCTGCAAAGCAATGGGTGCATCATCCAATGCTTTCCAAACCCTTCCTGTGCAGAACGAGGTCACAGCCCATAGCACTGGCACTCTTGCTCCCACCTCGTGCCCTACCGGAGAGGAAGAGGAGCACTGGGGAGGCCTCTGAGAGCCTGTCCCTCTCAAGCAAGACAGAGGGCTGCTGCTCCAAGGCACAGCTGACTGCAGATGAGCTCTGGGTGCAGTTCTGATGGTGTGGCCACAACATCCATCCCAACACCCACCCGTTCCCCAAACATGAGGAAGATCTCAGGAGAAGGGCAGGTCTGCACCAGAGGGCCGGCGGCCTCTTGCACATCCCCAAGAAAGATTTCGGGTTCTGAAGGTTGGGGATTGATTGCAGGCACAGTGTAGGATGGCAGCACCGTGCTGTGCAGAGGGAGGTTGATGTTTTCCATCTGTCCCGAGCAGGAGGCCATCTCCAGGGTGGCTGCAGGAGCATCCTTTCTTGGATGCGTGGCAGCCAAAGGTCCAGCCCCCTTCAGGACTGTGACTCAGGGAGTGAGTGGCAAATGGGAAGCCAGGAGTGAAGAGCGAGCACTGGGCTCGGGAAGAGTCCAACCACGTCCTGGAAGCAGGGGAGCAGAGAACATCACCGCTCATCACTGGTTCATGGGCTCCTCCTCCTCCATAGGCTCATCTTGTGGCCTGGAGAAATACAGCAACGTGAGATGAGACCTGCTCTTCCCAACACAACGCATTCTTTTCAGCACCGAGAGATCACCTGGCACATCCAGCTTCTAGTCCTGCTGCCCAGGATGACAGGGTTACAGGACCAGAGCTCCCAGTGAAGAGAATGGGCTCAATATCCACCTCCCACTCCCTGAGACCAGTTTGCCTCCAGCATCACCCAGAGCTCCCAGCAGCTCACCGGGCTGCGGGACACCAACCCCCTGCTGCCACCCCTGTGACACCAAGCATCCCCGAGGCCCAGAGCTTGGCACACTGTGGGCCACCTGCACGTCCCAAGACTGATGACGAGCATTACCTCTTCTCCACCATCACAGCCACCGAGAGGGAGGCCAAGGCTGTGACCGTCTCCACCTCTTCTGCCTCGTGGTGCTGAGCCTCCAGGAAGGAGCAGCCCAGCTTGGAGGCGAAGCGCTGCACAGCCACCCAGTATTTACCTGCAGGGGAAGCAAAGGTCAGGACAGATGTTGGGACAGGGGTGGCCTAGGTGGCTTTCCATGTGAATGCATGCAAGGGGCATCATCCCCCCTCCAGGGAGGAGGAGGAGGATGGAGGAGGGTTCCACCAAAGTGCTTCACGCAGTATTCCCTGCGTGGTTTTCCCTGGACAGAGGAGGAAATGGCAAAGCTTGGGCCATCCATGCTAAATCATCCTCCCAGCTGTGGGACACTCACTCTGGACCTGGATCACCGCTTCCAAGGAGCGCACGGCGTTGGCATTGGGCTTCTGCCGCATGCTTTCTTCTGGGAGAGGGTCCAGCTGCCAAGGGGAGAGAAGGGGGGGGGGGGTCAAAGGGAAAGAGCTGCAGCCAGGGCTGGGCTCACAGCCACAACCCACACTTCCACCCTGCTCCCATCGCTCCCAGTGCACCCAACAGGTCCCAACAACCAGGCTGGGAGCGCAGATTCTCCAAAGCTCCACTACAGGGGGGACACAGCCCCCTCCTGGGGGGTCCTGGCTCTCACCTCATTGCCCAGCAAGGCTGACACGCAGGCTTCGGATGCATCGCAGATGGCTGTGAGGTCGTGGCCTCCTTCCAGTGCCAGGACGATGGCTCCCCCAGCCAGGCTCATCAGCTGTTTGGTCATGTAGCCAAAACCTGCCCAGGAAATCCAAGGAGCAGCCATCAGCCTCCCTGCCCAACGCAGTGGGGAAAGAGCCCCCTCTGCTGTGCCAGAAAACCTCAGAGCTGTCCCTGTGCTCCGTGAGGAGCTGCCAGCCCCAGAGCCCAGCTGGGCAATGGGAAGAGCTCACGGTGCTGCTTGCACCTCCTTACATTTAGCAGAGACTTTGTAGCCGCCCAGGGGTGGTGGGTGGCCATCAGCTGCATCGAAGCCAGCTGATACCAGCACCACGTCAGGGGAGAATTCGTGTGCGATTGGCATCACCACTGTCCTGTCAGGGTGAAAAAGAACAAGTAGTAAGAGGTGTTGAGGGTTGGCTTGGCCTGAAGATGGGGAAAATGCAGAGGAATGCAGAAAGCAGTACCTGAAAGCCGCCAGATACTCAGGGTCACCCATGGGGGGGTCAAGGCCTCCAGTCCAGGCTATGTTGACATTAAATCCCTCACCAGGGCCAGCACCAACCTGGGGGAGAGCAAGGATGATGGTGAAGGGCTGGATGTGGCCTGCAGGGATTCATTCTCCACCCATGCATGGGTCAGATCCCCTCTTCATCCTCATAACCATCAGCAAAGGGCAGGCAGTCCCATGCTTCACCATGTCCTACACTCTGGGAATAGGAGACCCCAACCCTGCATTAAGGCAAAGCAATGGAAACCAGCTTCCGTGGAGACCTCTGCCTGGTGCTGGAGGGGCTGGATACTTCCTTGGGGTCTCCCACTTGCAGGACAGCCCCAGCACTGAACCAAGGGGCTTCCCCAGAGCAGAGCTGCATGGATCTTGGGGTCTGTCTGTGCTTTTTACCTCATCAGCAGCCCCGCTGCCAGGGAAGAAGTTTCCATCGTCGTGACGATGCAAAGAGATGTAGAGAACATCGGGGTCTCTGTAGAAGATCTGCTGGGTCCCATTGCCGTGGTGAACATCCTACGGGGGGAAAAAATGGTGTGAGGGCTCCTTTTTGCAGACTTGAAGCTGTCCTGCAGCCCAATGGAGCTAAAAGCACCTCGGTCTCTGCCCTGTTTCACGCTCTCCTGTCTCAGATCTGGTCCCATTCCCCCATCCTGACATGTCAGGGAGATCCCAGCCACGTTCCTGCAGCCAGTAGAGGATTCTCTACTCTCAAATCTAGCCCCAAATCAGAGCTGGGATGTCCTGGGGAAGCACAAGAACCTGCTGAGGGACGGGAGCGACTTACCCAATCCACTATGAGGATCTTGTTGAGTTTCCCTTTCTGCTGCAGCTGCCTGGCGGCAATGGCCACCGAGTTGAAGAAGCAGAACCCCCTGCAAAGAGGGAGGTGGAGCTGGTCAGCACCATGACCCCCTGAGCACCCTTCCCACACCAAAGGATGGGCTCTGCCTCCCTTCCCCCCTTGGTCTGGGTACAGAAGGGTCCTGGGGCTGTTATTAGGGCACAATTAGTGTTATCACCCCTTGGAGGACCCTGTGTCGACCTGGATTTTGGGGCTTCCCCTACACCACCCCTTTGGGAAGGGGTTCTTACATGGCAGTGGATGGATCTGCGTGATGTCCGGGCGGCCGCACCACAGCAAAACCATTCTGGGGACAAAAAAAATCCATGAGGACATCCATCACTGCTGCCTCCAAAATCACACCCCAGCAAGCCACTCCTGTTGCAGGGACACTCAGTGCCAAACCGGTGGGACCTTCAGTCCCCTCAGGCCAATCTCCCTACCTTCAGCTCCCTGCTGGCCACTTTGAAGGCCAACTCGGTGACGCTGCCTGCGGCCCAGCGGGCTGCATTGGAGGAATGCAGCTCATTCCAGATGGTATCACTGTCCACCTGCAAGCAAGGGAACAGTCAGACAGGGATGGGGACAAGGGCACCTGAGCTGGGGAAGCCACGCTCTCTGCCAGTCACCCTGCTCAGAGGATGAAGTCTGGGCCACCCTGCACACATGGGGCAAGCTCCTCAGCTCCACGGTGGCCACTTGGGGACTGCAGTCAGGGTAACAGCTCCTACCCTGTTCCCCAGGGAAAGCTCTGCACGTGGAGCAACTCACCCTGCACCCAGGGGCTAGAAGGAGTGACTGAGAAAACGCTCGTTACCTTCTTTATCTTATTTTATTGTTTAACCAAACATCTTGGTTTGATCAGGATCACGTCAAGGGCTGAGCCAGAGCCGGAAAACTCAAGTCTCTTCTGATCAACTCCATGTGTGCAACTCAAATTCTCCCCTCTGCCCCTCGAGGGGGCAGCGAGAGGAGGGCAGGGGGGGAGGCAGAGCAGGGAAAGTGGATGTAAACGAGGCTGAGAAGAGCTGGTGCCCAGCAGCGGGGGCAAGGAGAGGAGAAGAACCAGAAGAGGCAGCAGGAAGGCATGGGGTGAGACCCTTCCTGAAAGAGAGAGAGAGAAAAAAGGACAGAGACGGGGAGAGAGGAAGAGAGGAGAATGCAATGAATGGAGAGAAAACCAGGGCAGCAAGCTCTGAGAGGAGAGGCCACAGAAATGTCCGGAGAGAAGTGGAAAGCTGATGTCCCCATGCCACTGTCCATGCCCCTGGTGGAAGCCCACACTGCACCTTGGCCATCCCACTGGGACATGGGACACCCTGCACGCAGCTGGGGTCCCATCCGTCCCACAGATCTGCTCCCTCCTAAAGCCTTTGGCTCTCAGATGAGGCTGCAAGGGGTTTGTGGTAGCAGGGTTCCCTGGGGGAAGGGTCTGCAAAGGGCCTGATTCAAGATGCTCCCAAGGATAACGGGAAGCTGTGCTACAACGATATCCTGCTCCCATTTGAGGGAGGCTGGGACATTTTCCTGTGTTCACATGCAGGCTGTTGTTGCTTGGGCTGAGTCCATTCTCCCTACAGAGAGGCCACAGACCAGCTTCTACCCCAGTCACCTCAAGGCTCTGAGCTCCATCAGGACACCCCACAGACACACAGGGTTGAGGGCTGAGAGCAGCCCGATGGCTTTGGGAGTTCCCTCTCCACTCAGGCCCGCGAGAGAGGCCCCAGAAATGAGCAACCCCATCCAAAAACACCCTGAGCAAAGAAGGAGCACTTACCCCCACCCCTCCACAGGGCAGCATGACGAACATCCGCTGTGACAGGATCCCTGCAATGAGGAGACAAGGTGGATTCAGAGCCATGGAGCCAGGGAACAGCCAGGGAACAGGGAGACAAGGGCACGCAGCACAGGGACAGCAGTGGGTGCAGATGGGGGCTCACCTGCCAGCTTCCCATTGTCCAGTTTCAGGCGGTTGAGGGGATTGGTGCCATAGAGGAAGACGTGGCGTTCGGTGTGGACGCACTGCAGCTCCTCCAGGGTGGCCTTGCGTCCCCGCAGACACTGCAGGGCACAGGGGCTGTGACTGAGCCACTCTGGGATGGGACACGTGTTCCCCTCCCATGGATAGACAGGAAATACCAGCACTGTTTTCCTACAGTTGTAGAACCCTCTATGGCTCAAAGTCAGTCCTGCTAGATCTGGGCAAGCCTTCTAACAGATGAGAGCTGACACTGGTGTCCCCCAAGCTGGCAAAACACCTCATTCCTATCTCAGCAGGGATTGTACCCATCTTCCAGCACAGCAAATTCATGGGCACGGTCACACCAGTGTCAGCAACAGCCAAAATGCAAGCCCCTTTCCCTTTTGTTGTTTGGATAAACAGGCCGGGAAGATCTGGGAACAAAAGGAGTGGAGGTGGGAGCAGGACACCCCATCAGCTCTTTATAGCACAAGATCTGCTTGTAGCAGCATCCCCTCCCCTCCTCCTCACCTCACACTGGCTGCGCAGACCCCTCTCCTGCAGTCGGGACCAGATGCTCTGAATCCTACCCGCGTGCTCTGGGTGGTTGCTGTTGTCACCACAGGAGCACTGGTGTTTGAGCATCACCGAGTCATAAACCAGTCCTGCAACAACATCCAAGAAGAGCTGTCATCCTCAGACCAAACCGGATGCCCAGTTCTCAGTGCTGCCAACCCTAATGCTGCCCCTTTCCAGGGCTGGGACCTAAAACACTCTTAGTTATTCAGTCTGAATGAAAACATCTTCATCAAAACCATGTGAGCCTCCGCCCTAAGGCTTTTGATGCTGTCCTGGATGCCTACGAAGTTAAACCAATCCCTTGAAACAAGCAGGAAGGCAGATGTGGGGCCAGAAGGGCAAATTCTGCTTGGAAAATCACCTTAGGTGAGGAGAAGGGAACTCTCATGCCTTCCTCAGCCAGCCAGAGTACTCCCAGGAATTCAGGAGTCCAGGAGAGATGGGGAGCGACATTCAACTGCCCCTGAGCAACCCCACCAGGGCCAATGTCCTACCTGTTGTGAAATGAGGCTTGCTGGTCTGCTCCTGCACCGGCAGGGAGAGCGCCTTGGAGGTCGTATCCTGAGCAGGGAGGGAAACAGTCGCCGTGGCAGGAGATGACTGGGCCCTGGAGAGGGGTCTGTGCCCTGCGAGGATGGTCGGGACCATGGGGGAGTCAGCCAGGGGCTGCCGTTTGAGGAGCTGGTGCTGCACACGCTGGTAGGGGTCCCAGAGATAGGCCTGATGGAGAGAGGAGGCAGTAAGCATGACACCATCCAGCATCGGGTGACACGCAGCCTTCTAGGAAGGCGAATGCCTCTGGAGCATCTGGATGTGACAGCTCCCTCCATGCTGGATGACTTGGAGCTGCTCCGTAGGAGCTGGCACGTATGAGGCAGCATCTGCTGCTCTCTGCTGGCTCAGTCCTGCAGTGCTGGGCAGCCTTGATACAAGGTGCAACAACGGGGGGATGTTGCCAGCACTTTGGGGATGATGCCCAGCCTTGCTGGCACCAGAGGTGGCTTCTGATCACATCCCTGTCCTAGCCAACCGCCTCTGGACTGAGGAAGGGAAAGATGTGGTGCCTGCATCCCAACCCACACTGCAGTCCTTTACAGAGCTCTCTGGATCTGAGCTGAACTTTCCCATGACCAGCACACTGCTGGGTTCGTGCAAAGTTTCGCATGGCACCAAGAGACGTAGAAAAGTGCTCTGAAATGCAAGAACAGAGGAGGAGAATTCCATTTCTTACAGCCCCATCCCTGCCATTCCTTGCTTACCTGCTGGAGGATGAGCTCCTCCTGAGGCTGCAGCATCTTCTGAGGTCTCTCAGGCTCCTTCCCGCTGCTCCCTGGCCGTGCAGGCTCCACACATGCCCTTGCCTGCTCGCTGCTCTCAGCCCCAGCCTCCATCCCCTCTGCCTCCATGTCCTCTGAGGAGGGGATCTGCCGCAGCCGGGGCTTCTCGCTGGTTTTCACCATGCGCTGCAAGCAAGTGAGCACACAGAGGTGATGGGGACAGGGCAGGCTGAGGAGGCTTGGGGTAGCAAGGCACCCCAAGAGCCCAAGAATGATGGACATGGGAACCAATGAAGCTGAGCACGAGCCTCACAGCTCGCTGCGAGGCAGCGGCATGCAGGCTTGGCCCTGGGTATCAGCTAATTGCTGCCCTGCAGAAAAGGCTGCGATCCTGCATCCTTCTCCCACTGCCTCCTGTACCCCATGCAGTTGCTCTGTGCTTACCTTGCCCAGGTGAGTCTGCTGCTTGAGCCTCTCCAGGAACTGGGCATGGTGCTGCTGGTACACCAGCTGCTGCTGGATGGCTTTGGGGTTCTGGGGCAGGGGCTCTGAGCGGGTCCTGCCCAGTGGTTTGTGGTGGCCTGGGAGCGACAGGCGCTCTGCAGAGATGAGCGATGGGGCGAAGGAGAAGGGGACTGTCCCCAGACCTGGCACTGCAGGGGAAAGGAAGGAGAGATGAGGTGTTCCTTTGTCTATTGGGCAGACACTAAGATCAACGTCTTCCATCTCCTCAGCTGCAGCTCGTGGACAAGAAACGGGAAACCGAAAGGCTGCCTGCCCCAAGGGAAGCTCAGTGCTATGCCTTGAATGCTGCTGGCCCCACTGCCTGCCCCCAGCTCAACACTTACCTGCCACAAGTGGAGCGTGGGTGACTGAGGGCTCGAGGATGATGACAGGCTGGAGCCGAGGGGACAAGGGGCTCCCAGCCTCGTGCTGTTCCAAGCCAGCAGGGATGAACATGGGTGAGTGTGTGCCCGTGAGGACAGGCCCGTTCAACACAGGCACTCGGTGTGCCAGGCCAGAGAGAGGGCGACGATCCGCATCTCCCTGCAGAGAGGAGGGCTGGATTAGTAATGGGACACAGCACAAAGAAGGGATGGCACGTCCTCCCCATACCCACAGGCAGCCTCAGACTACTCAGAGCCAGCATATGGCTGGCACCCACCCAACAATCTCAAGATCCCCCCCGCCTGCCTTGCAGGAACCCTCTGCCCAGGTCTGGGGAGTTTCCTACAACCAGGTCACCTACCCTGGCACTAGTGGTGGCTGGCAATCCCAGTGTGATGGCAGGAAGGGAGACTGCACTCTGCAAGGCAAACTGGGCCAGGGAGCTCTCCTGCATCATCAGGCGCTGGGCCAGGGGTGCCTGCACCAAACACGATCCATCAGTCTCCTGCTCTGGGAATTGCAGAGCTCAGCATGGGACAAGCAGCTCAGGACAGGCAGCAGAAGTGGGGGGGCCAAGTCCCAGCTATCTGCGAGAACACCCAGGGCCAGGGGCACCAGGGACCCATATAGAGACAGCACATGCACTAGAAAAGCACTAGGGCATGCTGCAGAGGAGGGCAGCACATCACCACACTGGGCAGAGGGTCCCACCATGCAGGAACAGCTGGGCTAAGGGCAGCTCAGTGCAAAACCGGGGTCCCCGGAGAGGATGCTAGCTCATCTTGAGCCTGGGGTGGCGGTGAGAGAGCAGAGCTGAGGAGCTCACCTCGTGGGCCATGCTGGAGGCAGTGGGAAGAGCTCCGTGCTCAGCAGGGAGGCTGTCATTGGGAGAGCTGCAGCCGGACACAGGGGTGCTGCTACTGCTTGGGGAGGAATCTGTGAGCAAAGAGAAAGGGGAAAATGAACACCCATACCCAGAGTGGGCTACACAGCCCTGCCCCAACCCTGCAAAGCTCTCCCTCCTTCCAACAATTCCCAGCTTGCCTGCTAGAGGCAAAACTCTCCTTGGTGAAGTGGCAAGCTGGAGATGCAGCCGGCCACGGAGGAAGCCTAGCCAGCTGTGCTTGCTCAGGACCTTGCATGCTTTCAGCCTTACAGGTCCATCAAGGGCCCAAAAATCAGCACGATTCAGCTGCAGCAATAACCTCCCCTACCTCATCCACCCCCTGTACCATCACAGCACAGAGCTTGCTCTCACAGGCTGTGCCCCACAGAAGGCACCAATAATTGCCAAGCCTCTGAGACATTAATTTCTCCCTTGGAGCCCCACAGCAGGCATTATATGCAACCCCAGGCTGCTCCAGCCTCTCTGAACTCCCAGGCTCTCCCCACGGAGGCAAAGCCCTCACCAATGGTCTCAGGTGGTCTCCTTTTCAGAGAGGGGGGAGCGCTCTCCTTCCGTGTCAGGGGGTTCTTGCGGCGGTCCAGGCACTTCCTGGGCTTGCAACGCACCTTCAGGTTGGGCTCAGATGCTGTGAGGGGACAGGGCAGTCAGTCCCAGCCCTACCACGGGTAAGGACAAAGCTGGACTGACTTTGGTGGGGTTACTTCTCGTCTCCAGCCATCCCCTGGCTGTGAGCTCAATGGCATCAGGGCAGGAGTGAGATGGTGTTGGCCCCCAGCCTCACCTGTCTTCCGCAGTGGAAAATGCTCTGGGGGATCAAGAGAAGTGCTAGGGACCGGGGACAGGAAGGTGCTGAGTACAGGAGGGGAAGGACCTTCAGGATCCAGAGGCTCCAGAGACCTATGGGGAAAAGCCTCATCAGAGATTCTTCCCTCTTTGCTGAGATGATCAGCCATGCCTCCACTCATCCAAGCCCACCATCAAAAGGATTGCAGGGCAAACTTGAGCAGCTGCCCTTGACGCTGGGTGGGTCAGATTATCCGGGGTGCTCTTGTTTTACCTGTATGGCATGGCTGGAGGGTTGGGGTTGCTGGTTCTTTCCAAAGCTGCTGCCTGCTGCTTCTTCAGGATGACCTCAGCCAGTTTCTGCTTCACCACTGTGCTGGCCACAGCACCTGCAGGTGTTACATGTCGATGATTTCCAGCTGATGCGGCCCTGCCTATCCTGCACCTCAGCAGGTAAAATATCACTGGAAAAATATCAGCATCCTGAGAGCTCAGACTCAAAGGGCAGGTGGGCAGCAGGCTCATGGAAACGGGGAACAGCTGCACTCCAATCTCTGAAGAGCTCTGCACCTCCAAAAGCTCGGCAAGCTCCTAATGCAGCAGGCACTAGATGGCGCAGGGAGATTGCAGCAGCAGGTTTGCTCTCCTGCATGGTGCAAACCTTCCTGCCCAGCACTCAGCACCCCCTAAAAACTCCTATGCACCAGGCTTGGGGTCTGCCAGCTCTGGAAGGCAATTTGTGCCTTGCCTTGTGAGTGGGGCAGCACAAGCACAGCTGGGTTGGGCTGCAGCACTGCAGTAGCTGTTGGGCATAGTGAAACATCAAAGCAGGGCTCTATTGCCACCACTTGGCTGGTATCAATAAGAAGGACGCAAATCCTGGCCAGGGAGTCCCAGGGTGCAGCTCACTGCTCACAAGGATCCAGGCTTGCCCCACACTCTTTTCCTGAAGCTCTTTGATGCTCACGACAGAGATGCTCAAACCAAGAGCATGCAGTGTGCGGCCTGGGTAAGGGCAGCGCTGTCTGCTGAGCCCCTGCTAGAAGCTGCTTTACCCTCGCTCCCTGTGAACTTGGTCCCCCTGATTTTGGGGAATTGCCTCCTCAGGAGGAGATGCCAGACATCAGAAAACACTGAGGCTCTTACTTCTTTTGCTCTTGTCCTTATTGAGGATCTGCCGCAGCTCCTGCTCCTGCTGCCCGGGCTCTGCCTCACGGTGCGAGGTCTCCATGGTCACCTGAGAGAGGAGAGGGCACTGTCAGCACCAGGGGACTTGAAACACTGTGCCACGGGGATGGAGCATCTCTGCAATAAGGCTGTTACAGCATTTTTGGAAACCCAGTGGGCTGACAAGGACGTGATAAATTGTTTCATTGCTGGGTGCATCTTTGTCTCCCAGAGATGCTCAGTCCAGAGGAGGCCATAAGGATGCTCAGAGGCTGGAGCACCTCTGCTATGGAGAAAGGCTGAGGGAACTGAGAAGGTTCAGCCCTGAGAAGGCTCTGGGGAGAATTCAATGCAGCCTTCCAGTGCTTAAAAGGAGCTTACAAATAGAAAGGAGAGTGACTTCTTGCAGGATGGGATGGGGGGGGAACAGCTTAAACTTAAAGAGGGGAGATTTAGGTGAGATGTGAAGAGGAAATTCATAGCTCAGGGAGCAGTGAGGCCCTGGCACTGCTGCCCCAAGAACTGTGGGTGCCCCATCCCTGGAGGTGCTCACAGCCATGGCTGGGGCTCTGAACAGCTGATGGAGGAGTGGGTGCAGCCCAGGGCAGTGGGTGAGCTAGGGGAACTCTGAGGTCCCTTCCAACCCAACCATTCTATAGTTCTGTGATGATGAAAGGACCCTTCCAACCCAAGCCATCCTACGGTTCTACAACTCTACTCCTGCAAGGGGACAAAAAAGTGGTTTTTTAGTACCCATACCCTGACGTGCTGGTGGGCGAGCTGCTCCACTTGCTGCTGGTGCAGGCTGGCGAGGAAGAGCTGGTGCTGCAGCTGCTGCGTGTGCTTCAGAGCCAGCAAGGCCGTGTCGGAGCCGGGCTTGACAACACGCTGCCCGATGCGCAGGTCCATGGGGACGGCCTGGGGCACCCGTGGCGAGGTGCACGGGGTCACAGCAGCTGTTGGGACACAAAGCAGGGCGCAGCTGGGTGAGGAGCAGCACACGGAGGGGCCTCCCGTGCCTCCCACCTTTGGGAAAGCAGTGGGATGGGGATGAGGATAACCCGACGTGCAGGAGGGCACCGCGAGGAATGTGTGCTGCTGCTGAGAAGGGCTTGCCACATCCCATCTGCTGCCCGTGAGAGCCTCCTCCGTCATCCAGGCAGAAATCCTGTATGTTATACACCCTTGGAGCGCCTCCAAAGTGCTGCAGGCAGCTCGCCCTGACACCACAGTGTTGCAAACTGAAGGCGCTCCCATCTCGCACAGGGAACCCCTTCAACCTCACAAGACCACCTCGGCAAACCCTCGCTAGAGACAAACTAAAGCACCCACTGCAGCAAGAGACCTTTACCACAAAGCTCCCAAAGCCTTGCAGCTCACACCCTGCAGCGTGGCACTGCTGCAATGCTGCTACAAAATCCTACAACCTGCAATATTGTTCAGACTCTAAGCAGCAATGCCACCTCTGCAGCCCTGCCTCCATATGAGCAGTCCTCAGTGAAGGCCAGATGGAGCCATTTGCAGGAGCAGAGCCGGAGGGAACAGTCTTGCAGGCCAGATGGAGGCAGTGGGACATCGCTTGCCCCCCAGCAACCACCCCATTGCCACCCCCACAGCAGCCACATCCAGCACAGCTTGCTGGGGATGCTCCATGCAGCACAGCATCTGCAGGTGGAAAGGGGATGAGCAAGCACAAGACTAAAGGATGCAAAGACAGCCCCAGTGCACCTATGGCATCCCAAAAAACACGCAGCCAAGGCAGCTCCACGCTTCAGGCACTGCAGCATAGGAATGAAAGAAGCTGGAAGCAAGCAGGTGGGCAGGAAATCCAGAATTAAAAGCCACTGCACAGTAATGCATCTGCAGGGACAAAGCCACTGCAGCCTGAGAACTAATTGTTTTTCTAAAGTAGTGAAGCAGCTCAAATTAAAAATAATAATAATGATCATAATGCAAATGTTATTTTTATAGGCAGAGAACCACACCCTGCACTGTGCAAATCTCAGCCTCAACGGCATCAGGGAGCTTGTGCTGACAACTGCAATACTGCAGGAGAAATCTCTGCGGGCTTCAGCCCCGTCATGCAGCAATGCAACAGGGAAACCCAGCACTGCCAGGACATCCTGCAGTGCCAGAGGGGAAAAATGCCCCTGATCCATAGGGCAAATGTTTCCCAACACAGCAAAACCCCCAGATACACATTCCCAGATTCAACCCGTAGGAGCTGATGCTCCCAGCCCCACGAGGGGGTCTGACCTGGTTCTCTTCATCTCTTTGATAACCACCCGGGATTTCATTTGTCTCTGGCTAATTAGTTCTAATTGCTACAGCCTGGGTGATGGGAGATAACAGCTGGAGGGTGAATGCTGCTGAGCTCCTATGCCCTGGGGCTGGAGGGAGTGTGCTGTGACCCCCTGCACAAACACTAAGACTGAGATGCATTTGATGAACCAACACAAGTTACCCCGAGCCACAAGACCCCTCTCCTCTGCTCTCTGCCCTTTGCTTCACTCTTCCAGTTCCAAAAACACTGACATCCTTCACAGTGCTGACAGCTCATCCTCTGCTGCCCGAGCGGCTGCAGAGCTCCAGCCATCTCCCAGCTCCAGCCATCCCTGCATTCCTGCTAAACATCAGCGATTTTAGGATGGGAGCGATAAGGCTCCCTCCTCCCTGCTCCTCGTGACCCAGCGAGGAAGAGGATGCACAGCGGGAGGAAGGCTGCAGCACTCTCCCAATGCACTGCAGCTGCACAAGGATGGGCTGTAATGAGCAAACCTCAGGGTGGGAGATGGGGACTTGTAACAGCACCCACCCACATCCCTACAGAGGGATGCTCACTATCTGCAGCCCCATCCATCCAGCCCATCCTGCTGCACGCCACCAAGGCACAGGAGTTAGGATCAGCATTAATGCAACTCGGTGTATAGTTTGATTGTAACAGCAGCCAATTACTGTTGAGAGGTGCTTGCACTGTCCACCTCCAAAATAATTCTATTCAGGGAAATAAGGCCCTGATTTCCCTCGAGAATCTGTGTGCCACAGTAGCAAAGTCACCGAGCGAGAGACCACTCATTAAAGCACTCAACTTTCCCATACAAATTCCTCTGCCCTGCTTTTATGCTGCCTATACAAAAAGCCACGTTAACAGATGGCAAGTCAGCACACTAACAAAGGATTTGGTAAAGCTCCCTTCGTTTCCCTCTGCTGGAGATTTATTCTTCAGCGTCGCGGCGTTGTTTGCAACAACACATTTCAGGCATCAGCAAAATCACACGAGTTACTCCAAATATAATTGCTTGGCTCTGAGATACAGAGAGCTGCGTGTGTGCAGGAACACCCTGAGGATGGGGAGGACCAGAGCAGCCCAGCGAGCTGCAGCCTCCATCCCCACAGCTGCTGGTGGCATCCAGGGGAGCTCTGAGAGCAGTTGCAGCCTCCCTGCATGTATGATGCTCCAAACACCAGGAGGGAGCTCCATGCACAGCCCTTCCATCCATCAGCTGCCGACCCAGGGCAGAAAAGGGGCGGTTTTGTTTGAGCCTTTTTAAAAACAAACTCCAAAGCAGCACAAAGCAAGGAGCGGGAGGGAGGCCGTGCAGGCCAGCAGCCAGAAAAACAACTCCTCACTGCGTGCCCCAAGCCAGGAAAAAGGCAGTCGAGCATCCCTGCAGCCAAGAGGCACCAGCACCGCTCCGCACACCGAGTGCCAGGGCACAGCTGCTTCCCAGCCTCACCCCCTGGGACCCACAGCACCCCAGGGCTGCCACCCACCCCTCCTGCAGCTCCGGATGCCCCCACGCAGCTCCTTTCCTTCCCTTGGGGCTGCTGGGTTCAGCCATCAGCTCCCTCCGTGGCTCGAATTCACATGGGGTTTGCAGCTGGGATGTGTGCCAAGAGCTACAGCGCACAGCTCCTCTCTGGAGCTCCACATGACGGAGGCAGGCGGCCAGCAGTGCGCTCCTCCTCTTCCCTTCACCCCAAGGAAGGGCCCTGCAGCCAAACCCAGCACTGCCAGGGCTCTCAGGGAGCTGCTCCCATCCTCGCATCCTCCTGGGGATCCCTGCAAGCACCACGAGGGGACAGAAAACCCCATAGAGGGAACGACACCCAAATCCACTGCTGGGTAGGGCAAAGCCAGCATCCTGCTCCCAGAGAAGAGGAGGATTCGGGGCCTCTCTTGCCTGCCAACATTTTTTTTTTTATTATTATTTTTTTTGTGAATTATTTTTAGTTTGTCAGAACATTCGCATGGGAAGGGGAAGGCCGGCGCTCAGCGCATCGCCCTGCCACCAAAACGCAGCCAGAGGCGGCCTCAGTGCAAGGACACAACGCTTCCCCTGCACAAAACCACAGCGTGGCACGGCACAGAGAGCCCAGGAGGGTCTTCGGGGTGCAATGCAAGCACGGCACCCCTCATGCAATGGGGGTGAAGGCGCTGCATCGCCCCTGTTGGCACCCCGTGCCGCCGTCGCAGTGCCAGGGTTGTTTTTCTGGGTCACCGGGTGCAGGCAGGTGGCAGGGAGGAAAGCGCTGCTCCGCCAGCGCGCTTGGAGGAAGCCAAGGAGGCAAAAAACAGTGGGGCCTCGTGTGGAGGCGATGGCCCAGGGCAACCGAAGCCATTGCACAAACCTTCCCCACCTGTGCAGGTCACACTGCAGCTCCACACCCTTCCTCCACGGAAAGGGGAGATTGCAACAGGTCCTGGGAAAGCTGCAGGGCGAGCGTGAACGTGGTTCCGTGTGGGTTACAGGCATTTTCCAGGCTGCTCTTGCTGCTTTTTTTTCCCTGCAGTGAAGCCTCTGCTTTCTCTGCTCTCTCTGCTCTCTCCTCCTTGGGGTGATGCCTGCTGCAAGTGCCCACAGAGCACTGGATTTGGGGCTTCTCCCACCTTGCCCCCGCTCTCTGTGCGCAGGGTGGCAGTGACTTTCTCAGGCTGAGTGCATTACTGCAGTGTTGGTGCAGCTCACTCTGTGCTGGGTGAGCACACTGCTGCACACAGATCACAGAATGGCCAAGGTTAGAAGGGTCTTCAAGGATGATGAATCTCCGACCCCCCTGCCGCATGCAGGAGGGCCACCAATCTTCCCTTTTAATACCAGACCAGGCTGCCCTGGGCCTCATCCAACCTGGCCTTGAACACCTCCAGGGATGGATGGGGCATCCACAGCCTCTCTGGGCAGCTGTTCCAGCACCTCACCGCTCTCATCATAAAGAAAAGATGGACAGAGCCACCCTCAGGTGGAAAGAAAAAGCAACGAGAAATCTTTGCTTTGGTATTCCCTGCTTTTTAACCAGGCATGAGCAGCAGTCGGCAAAGAGCTGCACTTCCATAAAGGAGAAATAAAGGCAGAAGCAAATGGTACAAATGCAAGGAGCAAAGCAAGCTGCGGGTCTTTGCAGCCCTTCAGCTCCAGGTTCTGCAGCGCTGCCATGCACCAGGCAGCCTTCACACAGCCCACTGAGCTGCAGCTAAATGCACTTCATGAAAACCCTGTCCCATCTTCTGCTGATTAGCTGTGAAAGGTTCAGAGTTCAGCCGGGTTGAAAAATGCATGTGATTAAAAACATTCCTCTGAAATAAAAGGAAAAGGTCTTCTCCAGAGCCACGCACAAGGAACAAAAAAAATAAAAAGAAAAAAGCCAGCCGGAGGGGATTTGTTCAAATTAAAAACACTTAAATAAGAAACCGCACACACACACAAAAAAAGATTATGTTGAAATAACACGAAGATCACAAAGCTGGGACTGGAGCAAGAGGAAATCCCAGAGCTGGGGTACCTCACATAACCTCCCTGCAGCCCCCGGGGTGCACGCATTCAGATGGTGGCTTTAAATACAGGGCTGAGCACTGAGCTCCCCACAAAGATGGGAAAAGCATCGTCACCCCGTTATCTTCGCCCCGCTACAGAGGGGAGGGATGTGGCAAGTGGCTGCTGCAGCCCTATGGCGATGC